GCGGCTCGGCCTCGGGGTGCGGGCGCCGGCGGGAGGGCCCGGGCCCCGCGGGCGCCCTTTCCTCGCCGCCGAGACGTCTTCCGCGGAAGCCGCGGCCCGGGGCGTCTATAGACGTGGCCGCGCGGGGCCCGGGCGCCGCGGAGGCCGTCACGTGCGCGTGGGAGCCTCATTGTTCGCGCTCGGGGTCTGTGCTCGCCCCCGCCGGGCCGAGGGAGGGGTGGTCTCGCCGGCCTTGCCGGGACGCGCGCTGCCGAGCAGGACGCCCGGGGGTCTGTGGGCCCCGGGGCCCCGGGGGTGCGCCTGCCGCCCTCCTCGGAACCGCGCGGGTGGCGCTCGGGCTGCGTGGAGGCATGATTGCACCTGACCGTGTCGGAAGGAGCCTTGCGGAAGGGGCTTTTGGAGAGGGGTGGTTGTCCCCGAGTCACCCCCCCCCCCCCCAGAAGCGCTGACGACTCCTGCTGCTGCGAGAGTCCAGCCGAGTGACAGCGCCAACCCCGAGGGGCCTGGGGCAGCAGGATTCGGTATCCGCGAGGGAGAGCGAGTTGAGGTTTAGGGGGCGGTCGTCCGCGCGCGTGCTCAGCGGTGATCTAAGACAGAGACCGGCCGGTTGACCTCCGCTTCTCTCTGCTAAATGTGGCGAGTTGTCCAGGCCTAGTGTGGAGCTCCAGACGTGGCCCCCGTGTGCCCGGCAATCGTGACTAAGTCCCTGTCCGTAAAAGGCCTGATCCAGGATGTAGCTGTGCGCCCATCCAGTGCCGCCTCCCTCTCCTGCCCCAGCTGCCTCCCCGGCGGCGAGCGTGACATCTGTGCTCGGAACAGAGCGGGCTTTGCACCTCAGCGGCCCGGGGCTTCTCTCCGGGCCGAGCCACCCGGCGCATGTCTGTAGTCCCAGCTCCGGGAAGCCGGAGGGAGGACTGCAAGTTCAAGGCCAGCCTGGACGGCGCAGCAGGCGTCTGTGGAGCCCTGCAGGGCCCCTCCAGTGCTCTAGGAGAAGAGATGTGTGCGCTGGAGAGAGGGATTATTGGGGCTGAGGCAGCATACCGAAGAGGTTTCTAGATCGAGGGGCTACAGAGAGCAGGCCCACAAAGAGGAAGGAGAGAGGCCACATGGTAGCTGTAGGGCATCCCAGGCCCTGCCCCTCTCCAGCTATAAATGCCTGCACTCCCACCCCAGGTTTGGAGTGGCCGGAGGGATGGGCAGGAGGATAGTCAACCACAGCCCTGTAAGTTCCCCCGAATCTGTCTGGTTTGGTTTTGGTTTTTTTGAGACAGGGTCTCGCATAGCCCAGACTGGCCTCAAACTTTGTATAGCCCATTGTGACCTTAAACTGCACGTTTCTACCAACCTGAGGGCCGGACTGCAGGCGTGGGCGGCTGTGTGTGTGTGTGTGTGTGTGTGAGAGAGAGAGAGAGAGAGAGAGAGAGAGAGAGAGAGCCTACCGAGATTCAAAGCTTTGAATCCTTGTTCAACTCCAGTCTGTGAGGTGGCCTGTGGTCTTGGCCTTTGGCTCACCTGCAGGCCCCTACTATTCCTTTCTTCCTCTTGGGCCTCCAGGGAGCTCCTGTTCCTGTGTGGTTCCGAGTGTACCAGTCAAGGCCTGGAACAGGCTTTCCAGAGAAAGAAACAGCCAAAAGAAGTTGGAGCTATAGCCAGAAAATGACAGAATTGGGGTTCAAACCTAGGCTAAACTGACTTTCAAAAATTAGTGCAGTTGGTGCCTGAAACGCACCAGCCATGGTGGGGTACTGGCAGTCCTGGCCCTGGGGAGTTGAGCAGGGAGGACCTGGCACTCAGGGTCATTTGAGGCTGCTTAGTGAACCTGAGGCCAGCCTGAGATACATGAGGCCTCATTTCAAACAAGCAAAATCCGAAGGGTATGGAAGGAGCTCAGTTGGCAGAGTGCTTGCCTGGCACGAACTTGGTCTCCAGCACGTGGGAGGCAGACCCTGAACCATCAGAAATTCAAGGTCAGCCTCGGGGCCTGGAGACCCCGTCTTGTAAATAGAAAATACCTTTGAAACACTCGCAGGCTAGTCAGTGTCCCAGCTGCCCCAGTCGTTAAGGACCTGAGACCCTCCGTCCTCCGCCCTCCTCGCTCAGCCCGGCCCTCCCTCCTTCAGCAGCTGCGGCGTTTGAGTGCCTACCTTTTAATAACAACCTGGATGCCCTCTCTCCTGCCTGAGTGAGAAGCCAGACTGTTGCTCAGACACAGAAGGCAAGGCCTCCTGGGGGGCGGGGGCAGGTCTGCAGAGGTGAGGTTCCGGGACAGAGCGGAGACCATCTCCGCCTCGCCCCCAGCACTGAGCTCACAGCGGTCTTGGAATGGGACAAGGGCTGTGTAAAAATTTATTGAGTCACCACAGGCCTTTCCTTTCCCCGTCCAGCCTCTACCTACAACACCCTGTGTTCGAAGAGCTTGTGGCTGGAGCTGTGACCCGGGGAGAGCTGGCCGGGGAGGGACCCTGCCCAGTTGCTGCTCTGCTCCTGTCTCTTGTCCCCTCCCCCGGCCATGACAGAGACCCGTGAGCCTGCGGAGACTGGAGGCTACGCCAGCTTGGAGGAAGATGAGGAAAACCTTTCCCCAGGTGAGGTGACCTTGGAAGCAGCGGTGTTGACAAAGCTGTTGTCGCGGGCGTGGGTCTCCTTGGGAAGCTGTGATGAGAAGTGGGCCCTTGTCCTGCTGGCTCTCTTCAGACTAGGGCTCCTGGTCCCGGTGGAGCGCGGAGGAGCTGCAGCCTGGGCGGGCTCTGGGTCCTGGCTGGAGCCCCGGGGCTGTCTGAGGGCCCTCTCCCTGCTGCGGGCTCCAGAGTGGCCCTCGTCGCTCATGCTTCGGGAGCAGCCACGGTGCTCCTCGCCAGGGATTCTGGACCGGCTCCGTGTTCTCTTCCTGGGGGCGTTTCTGGAGCGGCTGCGGGCTGCGGGCACGCTGGGGCTCCTGGACTGGCTGTGCCCGCTCTGGCTGCGGAACATTCTGGACCGGGAGCGCCTGGCAGCCTTCTTCCTGGAGCCTGCTGGCTGGCTGTGCTCCCTCTCCCGGGTGTTGCCGGACCACCCTCGGCCCCTGCTCTCACTGGAGCTCCGGGACCACATTCCGCCCCCTTCCCTTCTCGAGGTTGGCCTTGGGCTGTGGCCTCGTCCCTGGCCGTGCGGAGGGGACTTGCTCTGCCTCACGTGGGTGGGCGTGGCCCGCCGAGTGCGGCTCCTTGCCCTGCTGCGGTTTCTCTTCCAGCTGTAACTCCTCACCTGGCTCGGGGCCCTCTTGTAACTGTGGCTTCTTGACCTCCTGGGCGTCCTGGAGCGGCTGTGACCTCGGGTCCTGCTGGGGGTCCTGGAGCGGCTGAGGCTCTTGGCCATGCCCAGCATGTTCTCCAGCGCGGACGGGGCGGAAGTCACCTGGCTGTAGCTCCTGGCCCTCCTGGACGCCGTAGAGTTGCCGGAGGCCGGGAAGGCCGTGCGGCCGGGGCTGTGGCTCTTGGCCCTGCTGGAGGTTGCAGGGGCCCTAGAGCTGCTCGCAGGGTCCAAGGCTTCCGGCAGGCTGGGCCGGGGCTGGCTGCCGCCCTTCTCCTGGGTGCCGGCTCTAGGCCGGCTGTGACTCTTGCCTCGGCTTTGTTTGCGATAGGAAGTAGGGGTCCTCGCCTTCTTGGCCACACCGGGTTTGGCGGAGTGGGTTCTCTTCCTGCTGGAAGTGCTGGTCCTGTCGAGTGATGTCTTGAAGCCCTGGCTTCCCCTCCTGCCTGGGGTGCGCCCCCGGCTGCGCATGCGTCTCTCTTGGTGCTGCCCCACGGTTCCAGCCTTGCCGCCTTTCCTGCCCTTGCTGCCCTTCCTGGCCCTGCTGCCAGCGCTCAGCTGGCTGGGCGTCCTTGTCTTGCTGCGTCCCTGGGACCTGCTGCTGGAGTGGGCTGAAGAGGCTGTCTTGGTGCCTGATGACCTGGTAGACTTGGAGCTGCTGGGGCTCATGACCAAGTTAGGGGACTTGGGGTGCCCTGCGGAATTGTTGGGCACGGCTGCTTTGGTGGGCTTCAGGGAAGCCGCCAGTGTGGGAGCCTTGGGAGCCGTGGTGGGCACGGGGGGCCCAGTGGGTGCCGGAGCCGTGCTGGGCTTGGAGGATCTCTTTGATGGAGAATGCATGGCGGGTGCAAAGGGGCCGGAGCACCTGGAAGTCTGGGGAACACGCCAGGTTGGGTAGCCGAGGACAACAGCCAGAAGGCCCGTCACAAGCAGCCCCGTGAAGTCATAGTGGGGCTGAGGCCCCTGGAGTGTGAGGTCAGAGGTGAGAGACGGTGGGGCCTTGGCCCAAGGCTGGATGGAGCCTGTTAGCAAACGGAATCACGTCCACTCAGGGTCGGCAGGGCTGAGTGAGCCGGCTGGAGCTGGGTTTACCAAGGGCCGCTTTGAGGGGTCTTCAGGTGACCTCATGGCTGGGCTGGGCAGAGGAGGGGCGGCCCCGACAGAGGCACTGACAACCTTGAGGGCCGAGGAGGTAGAGACAGTGGCACCGAGCTGGGCCTCACAAAGGGGTTGGAGCTGCCTGGGACAGCAGAGAAGGGTCCTCCCGGGGAGGAGCGGAGGCGGGGCCTGGAGGAGGGGCCTCAGAGACCTGCTTCCTGTGCTAGACTGAGGTGGGAACCCCGAGATCAGGTCTGCCCTTGAGTTCCTGGGCCGATGAGGGAGACACAGCCTCAGGACAGTGACACAGTGACGGGGCAGCAGTTCCCCGGGCCAGCAGGTGGCGGCTGTGCTGTGTCCTGAGGCCTGAGTAGGAAGGGCCAAGCGGACAGAGTGTAGGCCCCCTGCAGAGACCTCTAGGCCTCAGGAGCGTCTGTAGAAGGTGAGAGGGCAGCGGAAAGAGTGGGGAAGTGAAGCCTTCCCGAGTCACAGTGAACGCTCGGGGCCTGCTCGGGGTTTGCGGAGGGACCCGGAGCTCAGAGGGGACAGTGAAGGGCGGTAGATGAGATGACCACCTGCGTAGGACACAGAGGTCTCGGGTGGCTCGCCCAAGAGGGAGCCTCGCCCGGAGCCTAACGGGAAAAGCGGGGCAGAGAGTCTACCAGAGGGTGTGTGAGGGGCCGGTGCACAGCCCTGCCAGCTCTGTCCATCCCAGACACCCAGCGAGCAGCGCGTCTGTGACCACAGGGCCCCGCACAGACCCCCGCCTCTCTTGGAGACAAGAGGAAGCATTAGCACAAGTGACTTGTGCAGCTGGGTGGAGGCAAGAGAAACTGAGGCAGGTGAGGGCAGGGCTGCCGTGAGCAGAGCCCCAAGACAGGACTGGGTGTGCAGAGAGGGCGCCAAGGCCTCAGGGCAGCACACGTGAGCCCGTGCTGCCTGGTGAGGACAGCCGCGAGGCCGGAGGGCCCCCCCGAGCCCTGCCGCCAGGCACAGCAGGGCAGAGGGGCGGTGGCCGAGGCCCTGAGGGAGCGCCTCCTTCCAGCTGGCCCTTTCCAGTGTGGCCTAGCGTCTTGGGGGCTGTGAGCGCCCTTGACCTCCGAGACGCCAGCTCCGCATGTGGCCGCAGCTGCTAGTCTGCAGCACTTAGCCGTTTTCCTGATTAAAGCTTTGTTCTGGTTTAGTCATCGATTTGCTGAGGGTGAACACGCCCTCATGGGACCAGGATGGAGGTCACAGAACAGCAATTGGAGTTGTTCTTCTCCCCTGCTGTGGGGTCCTGGGAGACGCAGGCCTAACCGTAAGCACCTTTACACGGAGCCATCTTGCCACTGGTCAGATTTTTAAGCCCAAACTTGTCTGTCTGTACTTAGGCCCTGACATGTGTCTGAGCATCTTGGTTGACTTGTGTATTGACATGAATGTTGACTCCACTCCCAGGGACTAGAGGCCGAGGCGGGAAGAACCGCTCACGCATATGCAGTTTTTTGTTTGTTTTTGTTGTTAAGACAGGGTTTCTCTGTGTGGCCCTGGCTGTCCTGGCCTTGCTTTGTAGAGCAGGCTGGCCTCTGCCTCCTGAGTGCTGGGATCACAGGCGCGAGCCAGCTGAAACCCATACATAAGTTTGCACATGCGTACACGTGTGTACACACACAGAGGCAGAGAGGAAGAGAGGTCTGTCTTCCAAAAACAACAAGAAAAGCCACATGGTGGAGCCGGCCTGTAACCCGGCTGTTGGGAGGACTCCAGGCCACCTGAGAGCCTGTCTCTAAAAGGAGGAGGCTGGGGAGATGGATGAGCGGGGAAATGCTCTCCTGGGAAGCGTGGGGGCCGAGTGTGGATCCCAGCACCAAGGAAAGGCCTAGTGTGGTCTCTGTGTGAAGGCACAGACAGGAGCCTCGGGGCCCCAGGGTGAGTTCTGGCGGTCTGAAGAGTAGGTGGCTGTGATGGAGGAAGGCACCAGCCCCTGCACACAGACCTGTGTCCGCGCTCTCCCTTGCCGCTCAGCCGTCCTGACGCGTGTCTCCAGGGATGGTGGTGCAGGCGTCGCGGTGTTTGGCTGGCGGCCGGCCGTGAGTGCCTCGGTTTCCACGCCGGCCCAGGTGCCGCTGTGTGAGCGCGTGCGCTGGCTTCGCGGCCCACCAGCCCGACGCCCTGTGTCTCCCCTCTCTCCAGCTGGCCCGGAGCTTGCAGCGACTCCGGCCTCAGCCGCCTTGAGGGCTGGCACGGCCGACGGCGGGTGCGGCCCTTGCCACACAGTCCCGGACACCCGGACACCCCGCCCCGCGTGCCGAGCTGGCCGGAGCGCCCGGCACGGGGCCGCCGGCGCAGCGCTGATGCCGCGTCTCTCCCAACAGGCCCGGAGCATTCTTCTGACTCTGAGTACACTCTTTCAGAGCCGGACTCCGAGGAGGAGGAGGAGACCACCGACGACCCCGAGTACGACCCCGGCTATAAGGTGAAGCAGCGCCTCGGCGGGGGCAGGGGAGGCCCGTCCCGCCGGGCGCCCCGAGCGGCGCAGCCCGCGGCCGCCGCGCCCTGCCAGCTCTGCGGCCGCCCGCCGCTGGGGGAGGCCCCGCCAGGTACCCCGGCTTGCCGACTCTGCTGCCCCGCCGCGGCCGCGCACGAGGCCCCCGAAGGCCGGGCCGCTGGGGAGGAAGAGGAGGAGGCGACTCGCCCCGGGGAGAGCCGGCCCGCGGGGCAGGGCGGGGAGGAGGAGGAGGAGGACGAGGGGGGCAGCTACCACTGCACGGAGTGTGAGCACAGCTTCGACAGCCTCAGCGAGCTGCACGGCCACTTCATGCTGCACGCGCGGGGCGAGGTGTAGGCGGGGCCGGGGCGGGGCCGCCGGGGGCCGGGTGGGTGGGAGCGGCCGAGGAGGCCGAGGAGGCCGGGGTCCGTCCTTGTCGCAGCAGATGTGTAAAGGCAGAATAAAAGCCAGATTCTGTGGGCCGGCCCAGCCTGTGTTTGCTGCGTGTGTGTGTGTGTGTGTGTGTGTGTGTGTGTGTGTGTGTGTGTGTGTGTGTGTGTGTGACACCACCCTGGCTAGATGTGGTGCTGGGAGTTGAACCCAGGGCTTTGAGCAGGTGAGGCAAACCCTCCCAGCCCACGGTTTGGCTTAGCTTTTCTCTGAGACCAGGGTTGGCGGGCTTTGACTTGGCTCTTGTGCCCAGCCCCAGAATCACAGGCGCAAAGCCACCATGTTTAGTTCTGGCCTTGAGGCCGCGCCCACAGCAGCCCACGTTCTGCGCTGGGTACCCTGCTGGCTCTTGCTGGTAGAGCCGGCCAGAGGCGCAGGCCACGCCCCACCGCGCCTGTCTGTCGAAGCCGACTGCAAGGAGGCCTAGGAAGGCCCAGCCAGCCACACCCCGCGGGGCAGAAGGTGGTCTGCGGGCCGTGTCACGTCCCGCACGCGTCACCTGCAAAGACCGCTAGCGAGGCAGCAGGCCCCGTGCTTCCTGCGGGTCCGGTGCCTGGCCAGGGTTTCTCTGGGATGTGGTCCTGGCCGCCTTTTCCACTGCTGCCACTGCCCTTGATTTGCATGACCTCCTCAAGAACTGGCTCCTCTGACGCAGTTTTGAGTGCCTCCCTTGTGCTGTAGTAAATGCACCGTTAAGTAAGATTCATGTGAGTGTGGTGCCCAAGGAGGCCACAAGAGGGCATCAGCTTCCCCGGACCTGGACTTGGGCCCTGTCCCGAGCCAACATCCGGACGCAGTTGGTGGGACCCGAGCTTGTGTCCTCTTCAGAGCAGCAGGCACTCTTCAGCATTGGTCACCGCTCCAGACCCCTGCCCTTCATGACACCTTCATCTTCATAGAGCTGAAGACAGGAAAGTAAGATGCCACGTGTGTCGGAGGAAGGTGTCTCAGCCTCTGTTCTGTTGCTGTGAAGTGCGCCATGACCAAGGGAACTCTTACAGAAGAAAGCATTTCACCGGGCTGGCTTTCAGAGACCTGGTGCATTGTCATGGCAGGCAGGCATGGCCAGGCACGGTGCTGGAGACGTCACTGAGAGCTAAAGGCAGAGACAGACAGACAGACAGGAGAAAGAGACAGGCTCTGGGCTTGGCATGAGGTTTGGAACCATCAAAGTCCAGCCCCAGTGACACACTTCCTCCAACAAGGCCACACCTCCTAATCCTTCTAATCCTTTCAAGTAGTGCTGCTCTGTGGTGACCAAGCATTCAAATGCTTGAGCCTGTGGGGCCACCGCAAAGGGACTAATCCTAATAATCCTGCGTGGGTGGAAGGAGGCGGCCGTGCGCAGGAGCGAACTCTTTGCCAGGCTGGGCAAGACAGGAGCGCACCTGATGGGGATGAGAGGCCAGATTGGCTGAGCACAGGGCACCTCAGGGCCACGCATCACGGCCTTCTGGAAACTTGGGTGTTCTGGTGGCGTGTATGGCGATTCAGGCTCTGCATCCCGGCACTCTGAAGGGTGGGACAGGTTATTGAGAGAGTTCAAGGCCGTAAAAGAGTAGTGTCCCTTTCTGAACACGCACACACTGGAAAAAAACAAACCCACCTCCTGCTTTTGAGAGAGGAAATACTAATTTGCAGAAGCCTGGCACCAACGCTGCTTTGAAAATAGAAGGCCGATTATGACAGCTACCATTCGCCAAGCTCTTACCGCTGCCAGGCCCTGCTCTGAGGGCTTTACACGTGTGAGCTCACAGCTACTTGGCAGCGAGGAGCTTCTGGGAAGAGGACCCTGATTACCAGAGCAGCATCCGGGGCCCGGGTTCACAGCGGACGGGGCTCGCGCACATGTGAGGTGGGGTGCTGGCTCACTGAGCTGACCTCTGCGGGGCACACCCTGCCCAGTGGAATGCAGAGCGGGAGGACAGACGCACGGGGCTCCTTGTTCTGAGACAAGGTCTCAGACGCCTGCTCTCCCCAAGCGCTGCCCATTCTCCTGCCTTCGCCTGTTCGTGAGGCTCTGGGTGGGCCCAGCCTCCGGCGTGCCTCGCTCCCCGCAGCCATACCAGCCCTGGGCTGTGTCCAGGTGGGAGACAGGAAGCGTGTTTTTAGCCAGGATGGTGACACAGTCCTGTGACCCCAGCCGTTCTGGAGGCTGGGGCAGGAGTTTAAGGCCATCCTGGGCTACAGAGGGAGACTGGGGTGTGGGGACAGAGGCACACATATCGCGAGAACGATCTACCGGCTGAGCATGTCTGTGGAGAGCAGGGTGCTGACGGGATCAGAGGGCACGGCAGCTTTCAGCACCGGAGCTTGAACCCACGGGCCCACGCACAAGTGGGCGGGTTCCTACCCCTGAGCTGTAGCTCTAGTGCCCAAAAGCTGACTTTTCCACACATTTTTTCTTTTTGTTGATTTGTGTTGTTTTGATTTGATTTTTGAGACAGGGTTTCTCTGTGTAGCCCTGGCTGTCCTGGAACTCTCTGTAGACCAGGCTGGCCTGGAGCTGGCAGAGATCCTCCCGCCTCCACCTCCCGAGTGCTGGGATCACAGGCGTGTGTCACTGCACCCGGATTCTTTTTGACACGGTCTCTTGGCCCGCGCTGGCCGCGAGCACCGTGTGTTTCCATCTGGAGCTGCTGGTGTCCTCCCCCGCCGCCTCAGTGCCGAGATCATGTCCTGACAGCGCACACGCCGCGCGCACACGCCAGGGCCCCGAGTGGAGCTCTCTGCGGCGCTGGGAACTGAGCCCAGAGCTGGCTGGTGCCGGGCACCGGTGGGGGACATCTGACTGCTGCAGCGGGGTGGAGAGGGCAGCCGGCAGAGCACCGGTTCTCTGCAGAGCCGGAGGGCGTCCTCCGCACTCCGCTGCAGAGGAGGTATCACCAGGCAGAGATGTGTGCCTTCTCTTAAAGTGGTGGGTGCGGAGGCAGAGGCAGGCCCGAGTTCAGGGCCAGCCTGGTCTACGGAGTGGGTTCCAGGACAGTCAGGGCCGTGCAGAGAAGCCCTGTCTTCACCCCCCCCACACACACACACATAGAAGAAAGAAAATGGAGGTCTGCCCTGCCTACCCCAGCCTGTGCCAGCGGCGGGCTGCAGGGGCTGCCTGGGGAGGGGCTGCCTGGGGAGGGGCTGCCCGGGGGAGCGGCTACACACTGGAGCGTGCCCCCCCCCCCCCCCGGGCTGGGCTTCCCTGACACAGCGGTGGCTCTGTGCACGGGCGCGTGTGCGTGCGCCTCGCAGGAGTGTGCTCTCCTGGGCACCCCTCGGAGCAGGCTTCTCAAGCACTTAGCTGCTGGGCCATCTTGCAGCCCTCACTGCAGTTTTTGATCACTTGTTAAAGAGTACAAAGTGTCTTTTATAATTTGTTTTTAAGTTTCATGCGAATGAGTGTTTTTCTGTGTGAGTATTTTCTGAGTACACAGTGTATTCTGTGTGAGTGTGTAGGATTCCCGGAACTGGAGTTACCGACAGTTGTGAGCCACCACGTGGGTGCTGGGAACTGAGCTCAGGACCCTTGGAAGAGCAGCCGGTGCTCTTAACCTGTGAGCCGTCTCTCCAGCCCCCCAAGTGTCTTCTAAAACCCACTCTTCCCGTAACCACCAGTGTTGAGTACCCAGAACTGGAACAGATTCAGGCTCAGGAAAAGGGGCGTGTGCTGCTGTCACCGGCGCCGTATGAAGAATGTAAGCATGTTACGGTTCTGGACTGGGCTCGAAGTCCGGTCCGCTTCAGTGCCCAGGGCCACCGCCTGGCAGGCACGGTGGAAGGCAAAGGCCCCGGCAGGCCCTGGCGCACAGCCCTGGCGTCAAGGCCGGTGGACTCCCGTCCTAGCCGGGTGTGAGGGAGCTAACGCTCACTTCCAGCCATGGCCAGCTGCGGCCGGTGGAGGCGGGGAGCTGTGGGGCTCTGCCCCTTCCTGCATCCGCACCCAGCACTGGCAGGGTAGCTGCCCACACACTCAGGACGCCTCCCCTTACGCCGTCCCCTTACGCCGTCCCCTTACGCCGTCCCCCTTACGCCGTCCCCCAAACGGCCTCCCACAGCTTCTCCGGGCTGCCGTGCTCGCTGTGACCGTCAGTGCATTTCCTCTCGCTGACCCCAGATAAAATCACCTTCCTAACTGTGGGTCTGCTACTACTCCTGAGGTCTGTTTTCAGACGGCCTAGGACCCCCACCTTGATGGCCTCTGGCTCCCCACTGCCGTTCTGGAGGCCCACCCCTCAGTGTTGTCCCTGAGACCACAGCGACCACAGGGCTGATCACGGGGCGGCGTGTCCCAGGGTGCCCAGTCAGGAACCTCAGGTGGGCGTTCTGAATGACTAGACCCTCGGGATGCTCACAGTTCAAACTTGGAAAGGAGACGTGGGGGAGGGGGGTAGGTCAAACAGGCCTGTGTCGCCATCTACTCCAGAGGCTGAGGCAGGAGGGCAAATCACAGCTCAGTGGTTAAGAGCACTGTTGCAGAAGCGCTGGGTTGGTTTCTGGAGCCCTCGTCATAGCTCACAAGTGCTGGTGACTCGGAGTGGGTTGCTCCCCACGGGCCTCCCCACAGGCAAGCACGTGGCTACACGTGAGAGCAAAGCCTCCAGACTACAGAAATGCTTAACAGTTCAATCCCCAGCACCCACATGGGGCCTCACACGCTCTATAATGGTATCTGATGCCCACTTAGGGGGTTGAGATATACAGGCAATCAAAGAACCCATCAGATGGATGGATGGAAAAGAACAGGGAGAAATCCCCTATACATAAAATCCAAAAAACTGTTTTAGAAAGTAAAAACGGGTGATGA